TCCCTTTTCTCTACATGCACGTCATCGCCTTGCTGCATAAAGAGACGCAATCTGTTGGCTGTCGGAAATGACTACATGTCGTGCTGATGGGTCAGTGACTGTCTGGGAGAGTCTGCAGACGGCGACCCTACAATGCAGGGCAGGCTTCCGCAAGATTGATGTATTCTGTATAATACAGCATATCGTTGGCTCTCACTCCATCTAGGCGGCTACCTGTGCATTCCTGCTTCAGAAATCAAACAGAACGCTCGAGCTGTAAAGAGCACCTACCGACCGCTGTCTGGGCAGGCACGACCTCAGGGCAGGACGAACGGCGCTCCTTTGCACGGCAGTAACGCTTCTCTCAGCCACATGGCACCCTTATCGTCATGACTGTCCTTCCCAGTACACCTCAATCTTCTTTGCTATCGCACGATAAATCGAAGTACTGCACCTACAGCTCCGTCACCTTCTCTCGTTTGCCCTATATTTCCTAGTCCAGCATTGCCTTTCGTTACACCTCTAGCATGATCCTAGGTCAGGCACAACCAATCCGCAATGACAGAACCTCGATGCGATTCTCCAAGCCTGCGCGCCCGTTGAAGGACGTTCGCTGTTCAGATTGTCGAGTACGCGACACCAGAGTCAGTTCCGCTAAATACTGCTTGACTACCTGTCCTCATGAGCACGATTTCACACCTACGCGTATGTTGGCACTGGGTCGCATGCGGCTTGACGGCTTCTAACATACATAGCGAATAAATTCAGCGTCCTAGCAGAGCTGCAACAGTCGCCTACCGAGCCGAAATGGGATTTCGATTTTGTTCCTACTGCCACCGGAAGCACGAGGCGGCGAGGCAAACGGGGAGGAAGGCGCCATAGAAGCAAAGACTCATCTACCAAGGATACTGAACGATGCGAAAATGCAAGCATTAGCGCGTTGTGCAAGACCATGGCTGCGTTGCGTCTTAACGAGGATGAGCCGATCAAACCAGGGATGGACGACACTTCTAGCCGTAGTCGAAAGGCAGCACCTATCAATCCTCCGTGTTTCGATATCGACAGACCTTCCTGGGCCCCACAATTTCTTCCAGATTCAACAGCCACCGCTGCAAGCCAGTCCCAGTCCTCCCAGATCAAAGCACTGCGATCTCAAACTTCCTCTAATGGCGCAGCGACTAAGCGGCAGAATTCGCCATTCTTCCCAGTCTCCGCTTTTCTTGCCTGTCCAGATCCATCAGGACGGTTTCCATCCAAGTCTAAATTTCCAGAATCAAAGGCGCCTGAAAAAGGTCGGCAACCCTCAGAGTCTCCAGTCCCTCCTCCTACCTCCTCGTCCCACGCACAATACGCCGCAACAAACGCAGCACATCGTGCACTCACTTCTAGGGCCAAGCCTACCACATCCACTGACGAGTCAGATATCCAGCAAAAGGGACCACTTCCTCTCGCAACCGTCGCGAATACCCCGAGCACGCCTTGTCCCCCCAGTCTTGTCAACATGTCCTCCACCATGATCGAGCCAACCTTTGTATACCCTTCTGGTGCCTCTCAATCCACCGAATCTGAGACAGCGAATGGAAAAACTGAAACTTCATCCATCGCACATGGCCTTGGGCGGGAACCTCCATTCTTGGACGCTGAAAGGACGAAAGTCAACCCGCGTTTTCACGGCTATTGGCAACGCCGTTCAATACCAACTCCAGCAAAGGTTCGTCAGTCGGACACGCTGACGAGCTCGGGTCATGCGCGTATCAGGTTGTCACCGCAAGAAGTGACTGTTCCAGCAAAGCCCCACGCACGTTGCTATATCCCTCAGCAACCCGGTCGAAAGTCCAAGTTCTTCGCCGACGGCAAACTCATCGCGCACGAGAGCACCTCCACAGCCCAGCAACCCGTACTCGGGACCCCATCGTTTGAATATGACAATTTATACACGAGAATAAGCTCACTCACTTCTCCTGCTACCGAAAGCTCTTCTCGTCCACCCTTTCAGAGCTCGTTCAAAACGTTGGAGGCAGAATATCCGTGGAACGCTCATCAAACTTCTACTGCGCTATCAGACAAGCCTGCAGTATCTAGCGTGTTCTTGTCAGATATCTTCACACCGTCCAATGCGCGGAATGATCAGGACAGTATCCCACAGCGTTCACCAAACCTCGACATCAGCCACGTAAACTCCAAATCATCCGCGCAAGACAATCACAGGGCCACAATCTCCAGAGTGCTTTCACTCCTGGAGGCTGAACATAAAGAAAGCGTCTCCAATTCAGACACCGATGACCTCGATACGGTCAGTCTTCTTTCCGAGTACGATATCATCGATCCGGTAACTTCGAAGTCCATGGCGGATTCCTGGGAGGAACTTCCTACACCAGCCGAGACTACGGTCGATGTCGAACCCATTGACGACTCCGACTGCGACGATGAAGATGACGAGTATTACTCTGAGTCTTACTTCCAGTCTCACTAGGAGGAGACACCAAGCACACCTACAAGTGCTGTACGATGGACGAGCGATGGTGCCAGCACGAGCGCAGTGGAATGGCCCACTTTACAAGAAGCGATGAAATTGCGACATACTGGAGTTGACGAGAGTACGAGTTCGACGAAAGATAATGACGAGTTTCAATGTTGGGATGGTGTTACAGATTGGTTCATTTGAGGTCGCACGCTTTGTATAGTGAGTGCGTCTGATTGATGTCGAGAGTGTTGCGGATATGATAGTGTTGGGTTGAGATGCCGTATGGGTCTACTTAGATCGTGTTGTCTCTTTTAGTCTCTACAATCCCTAGAATAATGGCAGTAGATTATCTGGTCTTGAGTCTGACGTTACCGCTGTGGTCTATTGTCCTACACTGGTGTCTTCTCAGGATTCAATTACACACATGTAGGCCAAATGCTTTCTTTGTACGTAGTTTTCATTGGTATTATCATAGATAAATAACTAGAAAGACACTGGAGAATCTAAACATCTCTAAACACCTCCTTCTCAAAGTCCTTGCACAAATCATTGAATGGCAGCCACTCATCCTTGTCCGACTTTGCCCCGCCCTTGTCCGCGATTGGGCCCCACCACGCCTGCTCCACGCCCTGGGTATCGTGCACAACAGCAACGGGTGCGACCGGTCCCATGGCATTCGACTCGAACAACTTCCTAGTGTGATTGAAATACCACATGCGATCCCAGACCGAGACGCGAAGGGACTTGAGCCCGTCTCGATGGGCATTGTGGTGGATCAGGCCAGGAACGACGCTCGTCCACATGTTGGTGTAGAGAGGAACATCGTTCCAAGACTTCTCATCGGGAAACTTGGCATCTGGAGCGACGACTGCGGGGCGGAATGGAGGTTGCGACTCTGTAATGTCTTGGGCAAGGTCGTGGACGTGCACTGGCGCGACATTGAGCTCGGCAGAGGCTTGCGCGATGGACTTGGGATCGCTGTGGGTAACCCATGCTGAGTCCTCTTCTGCGAACACTGTGGGGTGACCGAGCAGACTGGCATAGTCCAGTCCGATACCAAACTCATCTGGCTTGCCAGCCTTGTGTTCGCGCAAGCGTCGCTCAGATTGTGGGCTGAGAATACTCTTCCTCCCCGTCAGCCAATCCCCTGTCTTTTGGAAGAAAGACCTGTGTCGTTGTCTCATGACCTCACGTTGGAACTCCTGGTCTCCAAAAATCTCACTGAAGATCTTCTGGTCGCTGCCAAAGTTTCGGTCTTTGTCTGCCTTCTCCATGGCGCGTTCGAAAAGCGCTTTCAACGCACCCACGCGACCCATGGCATCTCCAGAATTCAGGTACCGTTGTCGGAACTTGACGTATGGGTTCTTGTCCCAGCCAATATCGGTATCTGTCTGTGGGCCGTAGATATCTTTTGGCAGCGAAGACTGCGGTACAGCATAGCAAGGGGGGTCCTCTGGTTTCCAGGGCCAACATCGCTTCTGTGCGGAGAAGACAATGTCCTGGCTTATGCCCTCTGCAGCCGCGGCTCTCGAGCCCATGGTCTTCCGTATCCGCGCATTCGCCGCATCGTTGATAGCGTGGAAGCGCGAGATCAATGCGCTGGGTCGCAGTTGAAACCAGATATCGTATCCATCCACCAGAAGCAGCAAATCGTCGTCGCGTTCCGGTCCAAGTTTACGGAGGTATTCCAGCACACCACTAATCTTGGCTATATGCGACCCCCCAGCTACCAGCGATTTATCGTCAAATGTGGCGCCCCAGTTGATCAGCGTAGGAGTTGGATACCCTGCCACTGCAGCGCTGAGCATCGTCTTGCAAAGATTGACATCTTTGTGATCGGCGGGGATAAGGACGTGAAGGATGGAGGAATGTTTTGCCTTGTTCTTGCTGCTAGATGAGAAAGCAGTAGGAACGAGATGACGGTCGCTGTTAACGGCGGAGAATAGAATAATAACGAGTATAAAAGATGCTGCAAAGACTGTCCAACGCCGGCGACTCCAGCCAGGTAGGCGCGCGACCGCGTCGTTGGAGAGTTGCTTGTACCCGCGCATCATACAGAAAACCGTGCTGACAAGGCGAAACTGTGAAGCACACGTTACAGATAATGGTTGCGACAGCGCCGCGGTTGGCAGTGCATTTGGTCCCGGCCAGGCGCATGCTCCATGCTGGTAATGAGCTGTCACCGATAGCAGTTCGCCTTCTTAGTATCTAAACTTACACTGGAGCTAGTCGGATCTGATGCCGTGCGGCGTCAACTCCGGGAGGTGGCGGAGAGGCGTGCACTAGTGGGTCTACTTGCCGGCATCGTCCGGAAGAGGTGTGCCGAGATGTCACTAATCTCTTTGGTGGCTTGGACCACCTGCTCGGTAACCTGCCGTGACTGCCACAACAGGGGCGGCGTGGCTATGTGAGCAGGAGCGAAACTAGGCAGTAAGATTTGTGCGTTCAGTTCTTGGTGTGAGGTCGATGAGAGATTTTAAATGTGATTGTACAGTTGGCTGTGAAACATGAATGTTGGTATTAAGATGTAGTAAATTCAACGGTTGATGCTCTGCAATCAATGGTATATAGTGTCCCAAAACGAGACTTCCTCTGCCTCTACACTGTACAGCGCAGGCTCATGCGACTTGCAAAGAGACTTCCACGAGAGCGACTCCCCCTGGTCACTCCAACCCCCTGACTTCTCCTCTGGCTCGCCTACTTTACTATCGTATGGCATGTTCTTGGTCCACCGAACTCCATTGATAGGGCCTGACCCAATCTTCCTGTCTTGTATTTGAGATGCTGCACGTTGAAGGCGCTCGGCCTCTCCAGAGTACCACATGCGGGGCCACCAAGTGTCTCGGAATGACTTGTCGCCTGTGAAGTGGAGCACTGGGAAAGGCTGACCAGTAACCGTATTGAAACCCAGAGACACATCTCGCCATGAAGTCTCCTTCAGGGCCGTATCATCTGAGATAGCAGCAAATGGCTTCCTTGAGTGCAGCACGTCCTCCTGTAGATCAATCCGGTACGGCTCGACGGATTTCGATGATGAAGGAAGCGAGGATCGGTTCGTCGTCATCCAAGCAATGTAGTTCCTATACCCCGCAGCTGTTTGGAATAGGCTCGATCGATAGTCCAGCCCGATATGATATTCAGTCACTTCGCCTTCCTTGAGCGTTGGTAGGTCGATTTCCTGTACCCCTTCGGGCATCCCGTATGGCTTATCTCCATGCGATAGTATGCGCGCATACTCTTGGTCGCCCCATACGTCTGCCAAGTACTTCTGATCGGAATTGCGCAGTACATCTTCGGGATTGTACGTCTGCTTGATCTTTTCTTGAGTTGCACGAAACATCTCGCGCATTTCACCAGCGGGCCCGATGATGGTGCCTGAGTTCAGCCAGCGCGGTCTTGCGTGATTCATATCACCCCATCCGTCGGTGTAAGGGCCAAAAGCGTCGGGGTGAAGAGGTGAGTCAGGAACGACCCAGCACGCTAAGCGAATAACATCTTCTGGCCAGCATACTTTGTCAGGGCCGAAAAGGATGCTGTTGTACATGTTGTGTTTCCGCACATGGCTTTTGCCGTACCTGGTGACCAGCCGATCATTGGCGGCAGCCGTTTCTTCGAAGTAACGCTTTAGCAAGACATCCGGACCGAGCTGAAACGTAACATCGAAGCCATCCACCAGTAGGACTATGTCTGTTTCGTGTGTGGGGGACAGACTCTCGAGGTAGCGAAGAGGACCCGCGATTTTTGCAAGGTGGGTTTCTGCAGCGTTGAAGGCGCCCGCTCCTGCCCAGTCGATAAGAACTGGAGGTGGGTACAAGAGCACCGACGCGGAGAGAAGAAGGCGGCACAAATCGAGGCCACTACTCGTAGCTACAATGAGCAGGTGAAGACGCGATTCTTGGATATTCGCGGTGAGTGGATCCTGTATCGCGGCTTGCCGTATGGTGTCGAGGGAGTTGAGATGTAGTGCAGTCCAGAAAACTACCAGGGTCGCGAAAACCAGGGTTCCGAAGACGAGAGTCCTAGGACGAAGCATGGCGCAGGTGTATTGAGCCACAGCCGTCCGAAGTCGATTATGATATGATCAGTGGTAATAGAGCGCTAATTTTAGGCCAGCCATAGCCCAGCAAAACTCTCCTTTGGCATTGATACCATGCAGCCCCGTGACAAGGCAGACCTCGGGAGTGTGGCGTCACCCATGGCAATCTCGCACAGTGAGCTGCATGATTGGCATAAATGGCATGATTCCGAAAGAAGTTGATAGAGCGAGGCATACTACCAGGATATCGGGAAAGACGGATGCTAGTGTCTTGCTCGGATCCAGGCTCCAAGCGATCGGTTGGACGCACGTCTGGGGTCACGAAAGAATCACATGTGCACGGACTCTGTTCTCGCTAGAGTAGCGCGTCACGCTAAGAAAGCGCGACGCCATGTGTCATTCGCTCATCCACTTGCTCTCGCCTTTGACTTAAGCTCTATACTACTGTACCACGCTCCACCTGCCAGAGCGAGCAGGATGCCCGCGCCGTTCATCGGACTGACAGGCACGTCCCACAAGAAGGCTCCCAATACGATGGTCAGACATTGCTTGAGATTTGCACAGATGGTCAAGGTCAACGCGCCCGCCAGCTTGTTCGTCTCGAAAGACGCGACGTTGAGGCCGAATGCGAGCAGGCCGTTGCCCGAAACTGTCAGAATCCTTTCCCTTGTAAAGTGTCCGGCATTCACAAAAGCAAGAAATTCTGAGAATTCGCCAATGAGCACCGAGTACAGCAGAGATTGCACTGCGGCCAGGGGCCCCATGCGGAGGAGCAGCTCCAGAGCGGGTAGTCGCAGGCGCCCCGTCATCAAACGGTTGGTAACAACGGTCTATTTTGAGCTGTTAGCATCCTTCGCGAGAACGTGCATAATCCTTCGGGTCTTACTTACCTTTATGGCAGCGAGGACCACACCGATGAGTGTCAGGGTAAATCCAATGGCGGTGAAGTAGTAGTCACCAAAGGTAGCCAGTCCGACGCCTAGCATCACCGGGACGATGGACAGATACGTGATCAGTGCATATCTTCGGGAGAAAATAACACGGTATATCAGAATGGTAAAGAGCGGGCATGTCGCTCGCATGATTTGGTGGAAGGGAACAGAAACCATGGCTCTTTGCGAAGTTATTAGCGTACGAAGATGTACGTAAGGTAATGGAAACTTACAACGACAGATTTGACATTGCAATGTTCAGCGTGAACAAGAGCGAGAACATGAAATGGACCAGATGCTCGCGCGGCGTCAGCCTCGTTAGCTGGAAATGCCCGAACATCAAGAAGACTGAACTTCCAAGAGCAGCACTTCCGGTATGTACCGCTGTGAGAATCCACGGGAACGGAAACTGGGTATCTCGTTAGCTAAATCGACTCCTCGTATCTGCTCTTGCTACATACCGAACCCATAACAGCTTTGTTGTAAAATGTGAGACTTAAGTTCATTATGAAATAAGTCGCCAGGTATATGAACGTCTTCGTGCTACTGGCAGCTGGCTCTGTAGGACGCTGAGAAAGCACATGCTTTCCATCTTGTTGGCTTTCGAGGTCCAGTAGCGGTTCATTCTCCTTGAAATCCAGTTCAATAGGATATTGCTCGTCGGTTTCGGCCACTTGCTTGGGTACAGGCTCAGCCTGAGCCATCTCGAATTTCTCCATGATGTTGTTGTCTTTGTCGGTCGACGTGAGGAAGGAGTCGTGTGCTACCTCGCGATGCGGCGTTTCGTTAGTCTAAGGGGTGTTCAAATTCAGGTGGCTGAACCGGTATCTAATCCGACAAGCATTAGTTGAAAGAGATTATAGCGTCACGGTGGCTAGGGCCAACAAAGTCTCTTCGCGTCTAATCCTCAACCACGACCGGATAATGCTGCGGTTGGCCGACACCTTAGCTCCTTCGCATGCCTGTCTGCCCAGGACCCGCTGAGAACGGTGTGTGCCGTGTCACACGATGGATCCGGGTAAGGTGTGGCTGTCGGGGACCGGAGTTAACACTGCATCTCAAGCAAGGGCGAATAATGTGTAGTGGCTGCACGTGTGCGCTGGCCCGCTGAAACTGTGCTGACCATTGACTGCGCCATGAAGTCCAACTAAGCCATACTTTAGGCACAGTGGCTTCATCCGCTGTAATCATGCGTTGCCGGGTTCCGACATTAGCAGAATAAGAACAGTCCCTATGGGTTAGTGTCCTGTGGCACTTGGCTCCTCTGCGCGTTCTCTGGGGCGGAGCGAAAAACTGCGTAACTCGGGGCGGAGCTTGGAGTCCTGCAACAGAACTAACTGAAAAGCTATGCGCATAGCCATAGTGGCCAAAATGCGAAATCGATGTCAAGCCTCGCCGAGTGGTGGAGTACTCGTGCTAAGGATTACATCACAAAGATAACATGCGACGTTACTAAGAAGGCCCGGCTGGCTTGGCAGGCACCCCATCAATCGATCCTTGTGGCGTCCCCGGTACTTCCGTCACGCTAGCGCTCCTCCCAACCAAGCGTTTCCTAGCCGTCCGATACGTTCAGGTCCATCCTCGGCACCAGTAGTTGCCAAAATGAGATCGTGTAAACGATAATAGAAGATGCCGATAGCCGTCCAGGCGACCATGAGTATCTTCGGCCGCTCGGTCCGTGACTATGGCTGGTGGATACTTCATCCAACATCTCGATACCCTTGTGTACCTATAGGTATCCGGCTCACTTCCACGAAGGCTTCTTTGTCCTTGTCCTGCTCAATTACCAGGCATCCTGTTGCACACTCGTTTTTGCAAACCCTCACACACTCCTCATGTCTAGTCACACACGGCAAGATGCGCCCACCCCAGCGCCCTCATACCGCTCCACCCATGAGTCCAAATTGTTCGGACGCATAACCAAGATATGTTGTATCGGTGCAGGATACGTGGGAGGACCGACTTCGGCAGTCATGGCGAACGCCAACCCCGACATTCAGGTGACGGTGGTCGATTATGACAGCAAGCGCATTGCTGCATGGCAATCTGAAGAACTCCCCATCTACGAACCTGGCCTCATGGATGTGGTCAAGCCAGCCCGCGACGGCATCCCCAACAAGCGAACGCCAAACCTCTTTTTCTCCACAGATGTCGACCGCGGCATTGCCGAAGCCGAACTCATCCTCTTGAGCGTCAATACCCCCACCAAGACATTGGGTCAGGGTGCCGGACATGCGAGTGAACTTTCCTATTTGGAGTCTGCTGTACGAAAGATTGGTGCTGTTGCTACAGACAACAAGATCATCGTCGAGAAGAGCACTGTGCCATGCCGGGCGGCAGATACGCTGCGAGATGTTCTGAGAGCAACGAGTAGACCTGGCGTCGAGTTTGAGATCCTATCAAACCCTGAGTTCTTGGCCGAAGGAACCGCTATTCAAAATCTCTCGAACCCTGATCGCGTTCTCATCGGCTCTCTCAAGACTCCCCATGGATTGGCGGCTGCACGCGCTCTCTCTCAAATCTACTCAGCTTGGGTAAGCCCAGATCGCATCATCACGATCAACTTGTTTAGCTCCGAACTGGCCAAGCTAGCTGCAAATGCACTGCTCGCTCAGCGGATCAGCAGTGTCAATGCACTGGGTGCCATGTGCGAGGCAGTAGGCGCCGACATCGATGAGGTGTCCTATGCGGTTGGATTGGACAAGCGCATTGGGTCTCGAATGCTCAAGGCGTCGGTCGGCTTTGGTGGCTCCTGCTTCCGCAAAGACATCTTGTCCCTTGCATACATCGCAGAGTCCCTGAACCTGTTTGAGGTCGCCGCTTACTGGCGATCAGTAGTAGACATAAACGAGTACCAGAAGGACCGATTTACCCGCCGCATAGTGCGATGCTTGTACAATTCGCTTTCGAACAAGACGCTTGCTATCCTTGGCTTTGCATACAAGAAGGACACAGGAGACACTCGCGAGTCAGCAGCTATCACAGTCGTCAACAACCTGCTCGCTGAAGGTGCCAACGTCAGGATCTACGACCCACAAGTCAAGGAATCGCAAATACTGCACGATATCGAGAGCAGTAACCCGAGTCCGCAGAGCATCAAAGGCAGACTCACGGTCTGCTCCTCGACTTACGACGCGTGTACTGACGCCGACGCCGTGGTCATATTGACGGAGTGGGACGAGTTCAGCAACAAGCAGCCTACGAGAAGCGGGCACGTTCGCGGCGACTCAGTACACAACGGTGATGTGGATACAATGCGCAAAGAGATATCATGGAAGCGCGTTTCGCAGGTCATGCGCCGTCCAATGTACGTTTTTGATGGACGTAACGTCGTCGATCCTGTGCCTCTCGAAGCTCTGGGTTTCCGGTACGAAGGTGTTGGTAAATCGAGGGGGTTGTAATCGGTCTGAATGTTTCAATGTCGAGATATCCAATTTGCTTATTTACTTAATGAGGTATAGAGTCAGTACCCAGGTTCGGCGTTGGTCAACTGCTGTTGCAGCAATAGACGGTAGGATAGTAGCTCTACCTAGGTAGTACTCAGCTTGCTATTCCGATACAGATCCTTTAAGATGTTCTCTCTCACGTCGTTTCAACTGATTGACTTCTTCGACCGTGGCAGTAGTTTGGTAGTGCTGCGAACGTCGTTGGTGATGGGGCAAGGTTGTACGCGTCAACTGGTGAGATGTTGCCCACCTCGCATCCATCGTGTTTTGGGTTAGCGCTGTACCTGGACCCCTGGACGCGCGCGCCCCCGGGGCCGCGCCTGGCAGGCGCCTTCCAGCCCAACACGCTTCGCACTTCTCCAAGGGATCATCAATCCTGCCCCATGAGCACTGTAGCACGACTATCGCAACATTCTGACTCTCGAAGGCAAATATCAATTCAGTCTTAGATTTCGGCATGCTCACTTCGAGTTCGGCTCTTGCCTCGCATCGCACACGTTTCGTGGCGCTTCTGCTGTACGCGCCTTCGGCGAATGACTTTTGCAGTAACCCATGTCGATGCATCACAAGTCGTCACAGCCTTGCTGCGCCGCACGCCTGCATAAATCGAGTCCTGCCT